CAAGAGTACGGACGTCCGCGGACCGGACGCGGACATCTCAAAAAAGTCGCGGACATCCAAAATGTACAACACTGCGTTCATGTATAAAAAAGTGGTATGTACATATACTAACCAAAACATTTTTCGTTCTTTGTTTTTCATCTATTGTTAGTATGACTGGAGAAAAACCAAAAATTGATGTTTCCAAAGCTATTGGATACGAATATTCTCAAAAAGTACCTTACATAAATAATTAACAAATTCATTTCAAATTCAAATTTAAGAAATGTAATTTTTTTTACTTAGATATCCTATAATAGACGAGACGTGATTCTACATGCGCTTGGTATCGGAATAGGTTCAGAAGAATTGAGATTCGTGTATGAATTAGGTAATGAATAAATTATAACATATTCTCTAATCCAAAATAAACACTAATTTATATATTTTTATTGATTAGATCCGAATTTCACAGTCTTTCCCACATATCCACTTGGCCTCTCATTGAAAGGCGATAGCAACGATGTAAATTCTTTTGCTGAGCGTATCGCTCGTAGTATTTCAATACCCGGTTTGCCGCTGCCTAATCCCAAAAAAGTTATAAACGGGCAGCAATCGTTAGAGATTTTGCATCATCCGTTGCCGCTGGAAGGAAATTTTGAGATGCATTCTAAGATTGTTGGCGTATATGATACAGGTAAAAATTTTGCTTTTGCTTGTATACTAAGTTAGGTTATTTCCTGATTATTATTATAATTCCATTCTTTCAACAATAGGAAAGGCAATCATTATCGATACACACCACACATTAATCGACCCAAAAACAAATATCGTATACGCTAAATTAAAAAATCAATCGTTTATGCTTGGGCTTGGTGGTTTTGATGGTCCAAAACAGAAAAAAGGACCAATATTCTCGCCACCAAAAGATAAAAATCCAGACGTGATAGATGCCTTGAAGACGGAAACAAATCAAGCATTGTTGTTTAGGCTTTCTGGGTTGGTTGAATAATGAACTTTATGTGTATTCTGCGTTTAATAATTATTAATAAATTTTGAATTTAGGGATTATAATACTTTACATGCTGGTAAATAATTATACTTCAGAAATTTCAATGCGTCAGATTAACGTATCTACCTATCTATCAATTTTCACACATGCAGACCCAACAGTCGGTCAATCAACTGGATTCAACGGAACAATTCTTCATGGAATAGCCACCATATCGTTTGCTGTCCGTTCTGTGCTCAAACGTTTCGCAGAAAACGACTCAACCCGCTTTAAATCTGTGACTGGCCGATTCTCGAGCCCTGTATATCCCGGAGAAACTTTGGAAACCCACATTTGGAAAATTAAAGAAGATAAATCCGAAATTTTTTTGGTTTTCGAAACTGTTGTAAAAGAACGAAATAAAGCTGCGATCAGTAATGGAGCTGTTGTTTTGCATAGAAGTGGAAAAAGCGGTGTTGGAAAAGCAAAGTTATGAAAAGTATTTATGAGTTCGTTAATATAAGAATGTCTTATCGTTACCAAACGTACTTTAATTACGGGCTCGCTTTAACACAATAAAAAAAGTTTATATCCCGAATTTGTTGTGTTCTTGGTTCTGAGTACGTAAATATATGGAGGTATGGCTGTAGTGCTCATAACGATAATACATACGTGACAAGCTTCAAATAGTGATATTATTTAGTAGCATGATTCATTATTCGCTCGAGTAGCATGAAATCTACGTATACACGTCTATATTGGTCATCAAACACCTTTCATGTATCGGTGTGGTAATAGCGTTAACACAAGCAGAAATTATACATGTACCGGTACATGTATAAAAGAATAACAATAACTATAACAAATATCATTATCTTTATAATACACATAACTATAAAGTGAACTCAAAGATGGAATCTAATACTCATGATTGTACATGATAGTAAATGAACAGATTGTCAAGAAAAGAAACACTGCTATGGATGTTTAAAATATCACAAACGAATTTATAAAGCTGAATTACCAATGTTGAATTTCTTGCAAAAAGAGGGCTTGGAACAATTTATGAATCAATTGTTGCACTACTATTACAAGTGGGATCATGAAGACAATAAATTTAAAAGAGATTATAAATATAAGTTTTTGTGAAATCATCACCATTAAGTAGTAATTGCTAAAGTGTAAGCAAGTTGCTTTTTGTTTTCTAATACAATCAAGTTTTTTGAAAATAGATTCGGATTGTTTTAATGTGCACTTTGGAGTAGGTTATTATGAAATAACTAAGAACCTAGCTACAAATGAATACTCGATGGCAAATACGAAGGTACAGGCTGAGGAAAATTCACCAAGAGAAACTTGTTCATTGTGACTTTCACCTTGCAAATATGATATTGAATATTGATGCTTTCATGGCCGATTTTGGGCTTACTGGCCCAGCAAATATAAAAAAATCAAATCAAAAAACCTACAGAGTACTTCCAGAATCAAATAGAAAACCATATACTGAAGCTGTGGATATTGAGATGGTTATGCACGAGATTGCAATTCGGTGAACAAAGTTATAATATAGCTCGCATTAGATATCTATAATGGAGTACGACCTACGCCATATAATGTTCCCAGATGGTGCAAATTTATTATTGAAAAATGTTGAGCCTATTCCAGAAAACAGTCCAACTGTTACGACTTTATCTACTATATCAGCTTTCTAATAAACTGAATACTGTACTTTGCATAGTCAGTACTGCGATTCTTTAGAATATACGATTGTCTTAAATTAGAGACAATTAGAAGAACTTAGTTTACTAAAGTCTAGACCAGTTTGAAATTCTGTCCAAAATTCATATAGGACCTCATCCGTTAACCAGTCCAATTTTAAACTTGGTATTAGCGTTAGTATGATTTAAAATCTTTTTTCCATAACGATAACGATAACGATAAAGGAAGATAGATGATCATTGAAAATTATGTGGATTCCATGTTTAATGGGTATTTTTATTTGCATTTACATACTACGTATTCGAGTTTTCATTCAAGGTACCATTGCGCTGGTTGTGATATTCTCCAGGTAGACATATACATGCATATGTATTGCAATTTGACGGAAATGGGTTTCCATTGATTTTTCCCATTAATAAAAAATATAGTTGAAACGATTAATCGTAACGATAACAGGTTATTCGAATAAGCCAAGAACGATGAACTACATGTATAGTCCAACTTCTTTTATGTTTACGCACATGTTTATCGTTATACAGACAGTATTTTATTAATACATACATGTACATGGCGATAGATCATACCGATACTTTTTCACACTTTTAATTTTTCTTTTCCTCATGAAAAAATTCTACAGTTTGACGTTGAAGCTCTTCGATGCTACTGTGATCTTCACGTTCAGCTTTTACCTAAATTAATGAATAATCGAATAAACTAGTTATCAACAAAAAATCCGATACAAACAATATATACTGTACTTACGATCGCTTCACTATCTGATGCTAAAAATTCATTCCATCCTGGTGCGGACTTGATTCTACTTTTAACTATATACATAAAATTTATTCAATAAACATATCAACTTATTCATTGAACAGATACATGCATTTAATCGATAATCAAATCTCACTCTTCGTCAAAATTTCCCTTTCTTGCACCAATATTTTTGGATCGTTAGCAGAAACATGACTTTTCCATACAGACACATAGAATAGACAATTACTTTTTATTTGTTGGTCTATTTAAGAATAAATTAAAAGACATGGTATTGGTTTTTGTCACTTACTTTCCAAACGGTGCAGCATACCATCGCGAAATAGAAAAATTCTTTCGTTGGATAATAGTAGCAACAGAAAACAATTTTTTAGTTTTGTAGAGATTATTGAAAAGCATTAAAGTGTGTTTCATTTTTATTTATTGCTTGTGAAGATTTAAAGTGTAAAGTTTGATCAAATGTTGGTCGCAGTGTTGTCGGCTTTATATTAACACGGAATTTGGTCGTGGGAAATTTTTATCGTGTGAATATTTCTTTGCTTGATATTCTCAAATAGGGTTAGGGTTTTTCTCACCAATAAGAAAATTGCCCAGGTTTTAAAAGTTTGGGTAAGCAATATCTTTATTTTAATGATTGCGTCTCCGTTTCTACTATTGCTATGCACAAGCATTTTGGCAGTTACAAGGTTAGCATAAAGTTTTAGAATATTAATAGAATTAACTAACACTAATTATTTGATAAAAAAGATGACGTTTATTAGGTTTTCATTGTTTATATCGCTATTATTATACGGACATGTTATCATGCATTCCAAAAAATAAGACATTGTTAGTCAAAGGGAATGAATGCCTTCCTTATCCTCGATTATTTCTTTAGTCACTCATGGATGCTTGGTTTTTCCAGTCAACATTGACCTCCTCAATGTTAGACTCATTTATGAATGTGTTGTTTATCCTTGATTATTTCTTTAAAGGCGGTGATCACTACCGGCCGATTATCGATTTCACGTAAGATGAAAACCTTTATCCACTGTTTTTTTAAAACATCCCGATTCTAAGTACAAGATATAAGGTGCGCTCATCTTCCAATTACATTCCAGAAAAAATAATACGTTGGTCAGGGGGAATGCCTTCATTATCCTGGATCGTTTCTTTAAGCGCACTCTCGGATACTTGCAGTTCTATGGTTTTTTCTGATAATTGTTTTCACATAGATTTGACCTGTAGAAGACCTTGCTATAGTTGGTGCCGACACAATCTGTGTTGGTGATTCTTACGTTGATAAAGTTTCCTTCCTAAGGTTAAGCAAGAATGCGAAAAGCATAATTCATTAATAATACATGCGTGCCTGCTCCTTTGACAAAAGAGCCAACGCAGTCTCATAAAGTTACAGACACCTACCTTGAAGGTACTTTAACAATAACTCTCCAGTAATATTACATATGAAACCTCCATTATTTGGGCTACGCCAAGCGATGTAGTACAGTCAACACGGAAAGTAATGGCGGTGATATTGTTATTTAATATATAAACTTAATTAATTTATAAAAGATATCAATAATTAGTATTTTGTGCTTAAAAAATTTTGGTATATTATCTATATATTGCTTTTGATGAACTAATATTATATTGAAATTATTATACAATTCAAAGCAAATTATATCTGAATTTATAAATAAGGTAAAATAAATATTTTTTAAAATATAAATATATTGTTTTTTTGTTTTTAATCTAATTTACTTTGGCAAACTTAGATTCTGACTGTTTTAAAGTATAATAATAGCAATATTAATTATTATAAGATAACTAAAAACTCTGTTATTCAATAATAATATCTTATATAGATAATAATCTATATAAAAATACATAAATTCTATTTATATAACAAAAATTGACTTGAAAACAAAGATTAAGATATTTATATTGAATTATTCAAGTATTAAACAAAATTTACAAAAAACAATTTGTGCATTCTGAAAATATATTAATCAAAAAATTTATGAAGTACTTTCTTATATAAATTCAAAGATATTAAATAAAAAACATATATTAAAGCTGCAAATATTATAGTTTTGAAATTATTAGATATAAAATTATTACAAATAAGTAAATAAAATTATAATATTAATATATACAAATTTATTAATTTCTCTTAATTTTTGATTGATTAAAAATATTAAAGATTAATTTTAATATTAGAATTAAGAGTTTGAATTAGAATTGGAGAAAAATTATATATAAAATTATCTTTTTAATATTTTTATTAGTATTTTAAGACAGATTTAAGCATTTATTTTTCATATTTTTCACATTATTCATATTTTTAATTTTATTATATTAGATTTGTTTTGTCAAATTTATATATTTTTATTGATTAATTTAGAAAATATAGTTATAATTAACAATTAAATCTTAGTAAATATAATATATTCTAGAATTCATCAAGATAATTACTATAATTATATATATATAATGTATTAAAAACTATATAATTTCAAAAAATAATTATATTTTTATTGATTAATTTAGAAGATATAGTTATAATTAACAATTAAATCTTAGTAAATATAATATATTTATCAAGATAATTACTATAATTATATATATATAATATATTAAAAACTATATAATTTCAAAGAATAATTATATTTTTATTGATTAATTTAGAAAATATAACAATTAAATCTTAGTAAATATAATATATTCTAGAATTTATCAAGATAATCACTATAATTATATATATATAATGTATTAAAAACTATATAATTTCAAAGAGTAATTATATAAGATCTTATAAAGAGAGTAAAACTCTTTTATATTAATTAATTTGTATTATTATATTATATATATATATTAATTTATTAAATAATATTTTACTTTGTTTTTATTTTTTCTTTTATTCTGATTTTTATATTGATTTAATTTTTTATTTGTATATTAAATATACTTTATTAATTTTTCTTTTTATTTATAATATTATTATCTTGAAAAGATTTAGTTTTAGAATTTTGTGAATAAATAATTGATATATATTATATATAGAATAATACTTTAGCTATTATTTCTATTCTTATTATTTTAGAATAGTATTTCTATAAATTAAACTAAATTAAACTTTTATTTGAGTTTGAGTTTGATTTAAAATTTGAACTAAACTTGAATCAAACTTTGACTTGAGTTCAAAAAAAATTCAAAATTCAAACTAAATTCAAATTAAATTATTATACAAGTTTAATTAGAGATAACATATAGTATTATATACTGATTTATAACTTCAAGTAAGAGCTATAACTTTAATTATAAGTGTTAATTATACTATTTAGTAAGAATAAAAGTTTACTTAGTGATAACTAAATTATTTTTATTTTTATCATTATTAAATTTTATCATAAATTTTATATATTTTTTAATAATTATTATTAATTATAACTCTTATTTCTTATTATAATTTTATTTATAATAGTAATTTGTTATTATAACAAAATAAATATTTACTATAAAGTGACTAAAGTAAATTAAAATTGTAAAAATTAAAAATAATTTTTAAATTTAAATATCTTTTTGAATATTATTACTATAGCAATATAAATTTTTCTAATTCAATAATCTTGCTTTGATTATACAAAATTCTCTTTTCTTAATTTTTACCATTTATCACCTGATTATTATTATTTTTATCCAATCATATAATTATTTTACTTTTATTTTATTACTCTAAATCTTATATTTATATTCTAAATATCATATTTATTTTCTTTTTCTTATTTTTATATACTTTTATCACTCTAAATCTGATATTTACAATTTTGATTACAAATATTCTATATTAATATTAATATTTCATATTTATAACTATATTTAATAATACTACGTAGATTAATTAGTTAATATATTTATAAATCCCTTCTTTTATATTTTCTTTCTTTTTTTTATATTTATATTACATAAAAATCTTGATTTCAAAATCTTGATTTCAAAATCTTGATTTCAAACTCTTGATTTCAAAATCTTAATCTGAAAATCTTAATCTGAGATTACAAAATATATATATTAAATAATATTAATTAGTAATATTATGTATAAAAGGACCTGCTCTTTCAAATTAAAATAAACAGTTTTAGTTGACTTAATGATTAATTACAGATTGAATTATTTGGAAAATATAAGTAAAAAGCTTATTATTATAATAACAGTAATCTTTTGATTCCTTTTCTAATTATATTAGTACCCTTTCTCTCACTCAGTTTTATTTCTTTGATCATATAAAGTTGATTTTGAATTTTTGTTATAACATTATATTGATATTTTTGACTTTGATATTTTAATTTATGCTTTTTGATTTTTATATTTTTGATTTTTATATCTTTACGATATTAGTTTTATTTAAATTGTTATTTTTGATTTATATTTTTTTTTGTATTAGTATTTTACACTTTAGTTTAATTTAATGGTGGTTTCACTTATTAATCATTATAAATCTTTTGATTTATTTTATTTTTTTCTTTATATTTTTTACCTCTTTTTTAAATTATTTTTGTAATTTAGATCTTTGAACACACAATATTCGTAGATATTGACACAGATTTTAGAAATCTTTGCTAATATTTATAATTCATTCTCTTTACTTAATTTTAATTGTTCCTCTCCCAACATCATATTGTTACAAGTTTGTTCACTAATCATTAAATTAGCTTACAAACAAGAATCTGGGTTGGGAAAGAGTATAAACTGATAAAGAAAATATTAAGAGAGAAAAGAGATATCTAAGACCTATGCCAATTTCTATAGAAATTGTATTTATCTAAAAAGAAATACCAATTTGGGAGAGTTGTGAGAGAATAAAGATCAAAGGGAAAAGAGAATAAAGGAATAATAAAGGAGATTTGAAGGAAAATTCTATACTAGCATAAAGTTTCTTAGAACTAAAAGTAATATAATTAGTAATAACAGTAATAAAGACTCTTTCACTTTGTTTTTCTCACAAGAGAGGAATATTTGTTAACAATTAAAAATTCAAATGACAAAAAATAAAATACTTATAAATTCAATTTTAATAAATTCTAATACAGTGATTTGTTCAGTACAATAATTTAATAACAGCGATTTGTTCAGCACAATACGATATAAAGCCCAAAGTCAATAACAGCGCAATACGATATAAAGTCATTAGCGATTGATAGATTAATATGATATAAGACCACTTATACACAAGATTTGAAGTATATAAAGAAAATATGAGAGGTGAGAAGTATTTGGAGGAAGATTTTTGTTAAGAGAGATTTTTATTTTCAATTACAACATGTCGAGTTAAGGCTCAGACAGCATCTCTATTTATATATTTTTCAAAATTACAAAAAGTGAAATAAATAATTATAAAAATATATAAAAGTGAAAT